ATCAATACCTCGAACGTTGGCCCTTAATTTATAGAAGAAGAAGATGATGATGAACCATGAAGTACCTATTTAAAAATCGCATATACATATATCTATTGAGAAATTGGACATATGTATATATATATAAATAATATATATATATATGAATCTTCAAATAATTCTTCATAGTGTCTTGTACACTATTGTTCACATTGAAATTAAGGTTAACAGCAAAGCTACACCAAAGGAGATTAGATTCACTTCATCTTAGCTTAAGACAATTGCCCAAATCCAGAAATGACATTTCTTATCTTCAAATATCTACTGCTTATCTAAATCTCCACGACATCTTCATACTCCTCCTCGAAAGTTTTGCCGCCTGCCATCTTTTCCGACACGTCCACTAACTTAATCAATATACTTTCCTGAACCAGAGGTCACAAAATCTACTTGAACACTTATTAAGTCCAAATTGTCACTAAGGGATTTCACTCAGTGGCTGTTTGTTTGTTTTACACTACAGTAGTAATTTAATGTAGATGTCTTGTGTTTTAATTGTTTTTTTCTGGAAAATATGGACATGTTACTTTACTAAAAAATACGTATGTATTTACGTGCTTCAAAAAAAAATTCATTTTTTTTTAAACCAATAAAGGAATCTTATCTTGATGTATATAAAACAACATATGGATAGAAAGAAATTTGACGACTTGTGTTGTACAAAGTCATATTTTATTTGTAGGTATATAAAATCTGAATGTTCACAATTTGCAAACCTTTTCATTGGAAGTGAACTTTTTGTTGTTTTTCTTTATATTTTTTAAAAATCTGTTACAGCTTTATGATTTTCTTTTACTTTTTCCTCTAAGTGTCAAGGCATCTCAAACTCATTTGGCTGCAGCCTCCCCAAGTAGTATTGAACCAACAAACCCACGACTATAAGGCAAGCGCAAATAATAATTAGGAGCATTTCTTGTGTTCATATTTATTAATATAGTCCTTTCCAAATGCAATTTTTTTTTTGGTTTGTTTTTAATTTATGTTTGCATTTAAGTCCTCCATCTTGGAAGATTATTTCCCTTCTGAGCCCACGTTTCGCGTCGGTGCTTTTCAGGATAATTTGTTTGTTGTTATTGAAAGTGTGCATTTTTGGTGCGTTTGAAAACAGAAACCCGAACAAAAACCAAGGTGAAGGCAGCGGCGCTTCGGTTTCTTCTTCTTCTTCTATATCTTAAGGGCCCACGACCAATTTATTGATCATTTTGGCTCCTATGCATGTAGATGGGTTTGCAATGTTTCTGTTACTGGTGTTGATGAGGAAATCATGCACTAGGGGTTTGAAGGCTTGAGGCAATGGACACAAATGTTTAAGGGGACTGACATGGATAGATGACGTGGATTCAAATTTTTGAGATCAACTTCGTGGCAGTGCGTTGAGTCATAACGTCATTGCGTGGTGACGATGGAAGAATGTGTTAGGAAATACCACAGTTTGCAACGGACTGCGGTGTTATTTATGATGAACACGATGGTTAGGAATACTTCTCATATATAAGACCATGCTCAAACACCAGAGAAATTATGAAAGCATGTCGTTATATCATATAATGTGAAAGAAAGAGAGAGAGAGAGATAGAGAGAGAGAAAGAGAAAGAGAGAGAGAGAGAGAGAGAAAGAGAAAGAGAAAGAGAGAGAGAGAGAAAGAGAGAGAGAGAAAGAGAGAGAGAGAAAGAGAGAGAAAGAGAAAGAGAGAGAGAGAGAGAGAGAAAGAGAAAGAGAGAGCAAGTCATATTTAGTGTATAGCATTGATTTCCTGCTCACAGTCTGCTGAGAAAATATCTGGTAAATCGTAGGTTAGCATATATGTCGTGACAGGAGTTTTGTGTTTTCTTGAGGGGCATTCGACATTTCGGATCTATCATCTCCGAAAAAACGATTCATGGTCATCATATCAAATTGCTGAGTTTCAAACGTGTTAAAAGTTTTGAATTATGTCGCATGTGGCATTTTTAAAGCGATGAATAAGAGTGTTTTAACGTTAAAAAGCTTAGTTTAGATTTGTAGGATTATTTTTTTTTTAAATTCAATTATCATTCTAAAATTCTAATTCTGTATTTTTAAATTCTGTTTTGTGTCACAAGACTTGTGGGCGGAAGGTCAATCCCAAGCAGAAGCTTAGACAAGCAAACACATCAGAAGCATCTTGTGTGGATGGCAATGGATCTCAGAGAAGAAAAAAACTCTGAATTGAGACACACGGAGAACTGAGTGTGTTGGCAACTCGTGCGACGTTACTAGTCCCAAGCTTCGTCATTATTACATGCTCACTTGGGTTAACCAGGTGTGTGGAGGTAAGTTGATTAGCTGTCCAGGGAACAAGGCTAACCTCCTTAAAATCGTAAGTCCCAGGCCTTGAAATTTCGTCCTAACCATCTGCACGATACTCACATAATGATTGACGGATGTCAGTAAAAAATACTAATAATAATAATAATACTATTCTTAATATTCATTTAATCTATCACATGCTCAACTCAAAGATCAAAGTATAAATAAAACGAATCGTACTTAGATAATCCTCAATGAAAAAATACGACAGTCATGGGTTGTCTGTGTTTTAATTAAAATAATAATATTCTCAAAGACAGTTTTTAGTATCTTAATTTTATTTTAAAAATGGTCAAAATAATACAAATAATCTTTCTTAATGTATTAATATAATAAGGACATTGTAATGATTTTTTTTTTCAAAAACCATTACATAAATTCTAATTATTCTGAGCATTCGTAATACTTCTTACATGTTCAGGTTAAATATGTCAATTTATTTATTAAAAAAAAAAAAAGAAGAAAATTTTAGAAAAACCCCAACTGAAAAAATGCTAATGCATCACCACCTCCCCCCCCCCCCAAGAAAAACAAAAAACAAAAACAAAACCACCCAACAATCATTCTGATTGAATATGAAGAAAAGTTTCAGTACACTCCAAAACGTCGCTTAGCAATATTTTGATTTAAATATCTGCATTAATATACATTTATATAAATACTGATAAAGAACAATTTCAGCATGTGTTCAAATATTGAAAATTTATTAATCATTTTATCTACATGAAAAGTGTTAATAATATCATTCTACATTTAATACCGCGAAAGATTAATTTTTTTTTCTATACAGAATTTTTAATTTTAAATATCGGGAGAAAAATAATGCTATCATTGCAATATCATATTTGAATGAGCATACTTGATAATATCATATAGTGAAACACACACCGTGATATTCAGATATAAATCAGTCCTTACATGGCTCCCACAATTTAGCATTCATTCACACACTTCTTTAATTTTAAATACGTGAAAAAAAGGTAAAGTCTGAATTTCAGTTCATTTTGGTTATTGGATAGAGTATGAATGTATTTATTTCAGATGGATCAATCACCACATTTATAAAACGGTCTAAGGGGCAGTTTTAAATTAACGAAGGCTTTTCAATATCTTGAATAATTCTTTTGATTCTTGTGATCAATGCAATATCTCCGTTGATTACTTTTCCCGTTATTATTTAGCATTTTAAGCTCGGCATAATCAGCTTAGTGGAGAATGTCTTTGAGTGAAATCTCGGGCACACATGTATGTCCAAGAGAGTGATCTATCCCTTATCGGATCACAAAGGCCCAAGTACAAGAAATAACCAGCATACAAACTTATGCACAACATAAAAGTAAGTCTAGAAAAGCCCTGCAACACATACAATAAAATTCTCACGAGAACAAACACCTTTTACAACCTTTGATCGATACCAATCAATTTAAACAATAAACAGATCAATACTGTGGTCCCTTCGAATAAATGAATACCATGGCCTTAAAAAAAATAAATAAACAATAAAACTAAAACAATGTTTTTCAGAGAAGACTAGGAGCCAAATTTTTGTAGCCGATATTTCATTAATGCATTTTGTTCTTCAAAATATATATAGATAGATTTATATATATATTTTTAAACGTCTTTTCGATTGATATTAGTTATACATGTATCAATATTTTAATTAAGAATTCTCCATAGATTCCTTTTTTTAAAATGAAACAGAATTGCTGACTTCAAATTCGTGAACTGTTTTGTTAATCGATGTCGGCTAGTTATGTGTTATTTTTTCCAGTAAATATTCTTTTGAATCTGAAAAAGATATAAACATTATTGTTCCTTTATACCATTATTAAGCGTCAGTTTTTTTATAAAAGTGGTAACTTCTTAACGTATAGATTAAATACGATTATATTTTCTCACCCAATTATTTATTATATGTTGAAAAAACGTGTCATGAATGAGTAAAAAACTAATTTAATTAATTTATACAAAAATCTAATCATTCCTACAGAAAACAAATATTTAAAAAAAAAAAAAACAATGAATAAACAAAAAAATGTAAAAATATGGCAATTTTGTGAATGGTATCACAACTGTTAAACGTGATTCTGAAAGTGATGTTGATGTAGTTCTTAGCATAAACAATACACAAATAACGAAATCAACCATATTTTTTTTTTTAAAGAATGAAATTAACGATTATTGAAAATGTATGAGCAATGTTAAATCTTCGTTTTTCTACTGGATGAGGTTAAAGATGTTTGTGTTCAATAAATCAAAAATTACCCCCCGCTTGTGTATGGGTTGTCTTTTCTTGTTTGCTTAGTTTATCTGTTCTCTAATTAAAACATAGATTTTTCGTACTAAGATTTCGACAGAATGATATATTGGGTTTAAACAAGTCGTTTCAGCGTTTTATATTTCTTCGACCCAATTTTTGTTTAAAAAATATTACAATAAACATGCTAGATTTTTAAAATAATATAAAAATTAGATGTTCTTTTATTTTATGAAAATGCAAACAATTAAAATATTTTTTGTTTTATGAACAACATCAATTAAAACCATAGAACGATTAACTTAGTTAGCACCTGTTTATGAAAAAAAATACCTGGCACTGTCCTCTTTAGGACACGATGTACTAAGAAGCATGCTATGATGATGAGAACGAAAGCAACAGGGATGGCTATCCAAAACATCGAATTACTTTTAATCATCTTGGGTGATGTCAAACGACCGGTCTTGTTATTGAGATCTGTCATCAAAATCACAATACACAATAAAAAATGTTATGATTTATCAGTATGTCAAAGTCATTCATTATCTTTTACAATTGTTTATAATCAAATTTTTAACTTCAACAAAATTAATCTCTATTATTTGGGTCACATTGAGCTGCATATCAACCTAAGAACAATGTTGAAAAAGAAAAAAAAAACTTTTTTGGAATGGAGGCAATCAAATATCAGATTTGAATAAAAACGTGAGTACATTTTTTTTTACTCTAATAAAAAAACGAACAAATTTGATAAAATGAGTAAAACAGAGTAGGGTTAAATCTGACAAAAATAAACGCAACAAAACAACGAACGTGTCTGCAGAAAGCCTTCGTCAGCTAACAAAACAACAGTAAAAGTGGTATAAAGATAAAAATAAGAAATAGCACATAGCTGGTAAGTAGTATCTGTGGGCAGCAATAGAAGTCAGACCTTCAATATTCTCCTCAATCCACAAATCAAATATTTAAAAGGACAAACACATTTGTAAGGAACTGAACTAGACTGTGCATTATATAGTTATTTATTGATAAATTTAGATGAATAATGAGTAATTAATTATTGCCAGTTAAATTAAAGATAAAAAATACGTCTAGTTATATTTTTTTTCTCTTAACTTACCCATAATGACGATATCAATTTTCAAATTCAATGAATCTGCATTTGTTGTAGTAACTATAAAGTCGTGCTCATCAATGTAATCTTTTGTTATGTTATAAATTGTAAGTGACAGATTGTTTTCGTGTCCATGGACGCCATTGAACACCCAGTCGTAAGAATATTCTGGTTGGTTTCGAAAACGTGACGTACTGTTATAAATGACGTTTGGCAAAATCCTCTTGTCGTACAAGAAGGAAACACAAAATGATATTGAAATGGTCTCCCCTAACATTGCAGACACTGTTTTCCTGTTTGAATCGTGGGGGCATATTACGTAGAAACCTGTAACAAAATGCATACAATATAATAAATATTAAATAAAATCCAATCCATATATCGTCACATCTATTTAAAAATATTAAAAAAATTGAAGAAATATTGAAGCTCAACATATACGTCGACATTTCATGGGTATCCTACGCACGGTATTACATCTTAATTGTATATAAATTTGACATTCAATTACATAAAGTTTATTTGACTGAAAATTTGAAACATTTCATAGGCGGTACTGTGAACGCAAAAGGTAACATTATAAAATACAATTAATATTCCTCGTTATTTATAATGAGTGGATGTAAGCATCTTTGCGAAAGACACGATGAAATTGAATGCAATCTAAAGTCATGATTTCACTGGGCAACTAACCTTATGCCAAATGACCACATTCCAAATAAAAACGTGCCGAGAGAGTGCGAACTGACCACAAGTCAAATGAACACGTGCCAACTGACCTGTGCCAATTGACTACATGTCAAATGACCACAAGATAACAGACCACATGCCAACTGACCACGTGCGGAATGCCCACGTGCTAATTGACCACATGCAAACTGACAACACTTAAATAGAGACCGCGGCCTCCACTTTTTTGTCTCCCAATATTTGAAAATCACCTGATTTGAAGAGATTAAATCCATTGCTTTCAGACCTTCAATATTCTCCTAAATCCACAAATCAAATATTTAAAAGGACAAAACAAATATAACTATATATATCATCATTACACTTTCCCGTAACAGATATCAACAATTTCATGTCTAAAACAAAACAAGTTTGGATACTCACAGTTACTGACAACTAATGTCATCGATATGTTCCCCACGCTCTGTGAATCAACATCGTCCACGACACAGTAATAGACACCGGCGTTGTCACAAGCCAAGCTTGGAAAATAAACCTGGACCGGATTATCTTTGGTCGTATTCAGCACGCCGTCCTTCTCGTCCAGGATGGTTACAGTTTTGTTGAAGTACCCAAGCCCTGGTTTTATGGCACACTCGAGGAAGCCTGGTCGTCCTTTGGTTAAAGTTATTCGTGTTTCCAGAGACGTTTGAATTTGAACACCGTTGGCTATAAAATAGGATTGTGTTGGCTCATCTGGAGAGGATAATTGTGTAATTATTTTATATTATACGAGGTCTGAAATCAAGATTATACAGCGTCTTAGTTAACAAAAAACTGCAATACTTTCGGGGCGTAGCAGTAAAAGCGGTTCGATTGAGTGTGTAGTTTTGTATGCAGACGCTATAAGTTTTCGCGAATTTTTTTTTTTTTTTTTCGTTGGTGAACTTGTTACGTGTTGTTTGATTTGATAATGTTGTGTTGCATTTTGAAATATAGGGTTTGTAATATTTTTATTATGTAACTAGTATGGTTCAGAAAGTAATTAATATAATTTTAGCCTATAATACGCTGCTCTTCCTCAATGCAAGCGATGGCTTGCCGATAATATTATGTTCAACTTCGCAATGATCTTTGGGGAATAACACTTGCTCTGTTCAAAATGCAAACTTACGCTCAAGAACCTATACACTGACAATTAATCTAACCACACGGTGATTCAATCGAACAGCTTGCTACAGTCTTACACATCAATTTTAAGTAGCATCAAGAACTGAGACGAAGACTTTCAAGACTCAAAACAATATATACTCAAAATATTACATAGAAAATTAATTTTCTTTTATGTGATCAATGAAAATGGATATCTTGTCATATCGGATCTTAACATTAATAGATCTTACAATAAGCTGTACCGACTTCGTTTATTATTATTTTTTTTAATGTATTTTTTTGTTGGAAATTACTTCATTTTAGTAGTTTGTATACCTCAAAGTAAATACATTTCATTACGTGTAGCCTTACCTTTTATAAATGTTCTTTCTATTAAAACAAAACTCAATTGTCTCCTCTGCTTGACACCCGCTGAACTCAGTGTGACGTCATACATCTTAAAATCTAAGGATGTTACATTCTTTATTGTTATTTTTAAGATGACTTTTGGCCAAGTTCCGTCAACTAAACTCACATCGATTTTGTTATGAACACTTCCGGGTTGAAAGGTTACGCCATTAATATTCACATTTTCGTCAAGTCTAGTAGTAGCTTCAATGCAAAAGTCAGCAGTGACGTCATCGTTCATCTGTGCAAAAATAATTTCTGAATCCTGTCCTTTGCAAAGAGTAGGTGGTTCTGTAAAAAGCCATGTAATAATCATAGAAGGGAGACCCTCGAGTTGAAACATATGACAAACAAATTGTACAACAAGAATAATGAATTTAATTTTAAAAAACACGCTTCATCCCTGATTCAGGCTCGAAGCGAAGTACAAAGTCCACCATATATTATGACAATTTATATTTTTCGACAAATAAAATACAAAACGACACAATTCAAAATCTACTTCGTGGAAAATAAACAAGGTGGAAACAAGAATGTTGACTACATCAACCCAGAAGTTGGGTGCGAAAAAATATGTGTTTTCAACTTAGTTTTGAAAGAATGCAGTGTCTGGCTGTTTCTGAGACCGACTGGAAGGCCGTTCCAGATTCTTGGGCCAGCAAATGCGAAAGTGTGCATTCCGTAGCTATCAGAGCGGAATCGTGGTATGCAAAATTTGCCACTATCGGATGAAGGGAGTATCTAGTGATTACATAAGGCGACATGAGCGCTTTGGGATTGTAGGGTGACAGGTCATGAAATTATATGTAATAAAACACATACTATACATAATATAACTCAGTTTAACTGTGTTTTAAAGTTTTTAAAAGTCACACAAACACGAGGAAAATAAAAAATTGATCGCAACCAAGTTTAAATGAATCAAACCTTAGTGACCTATAGATCGTTCCTGAAAATTTTGGCCAACATCCCCTTTTCACAAAAAATGTATTTTGAAAAAAAAATATTTTAATTGATCTTGTTTAGATGGAATACAAAATTAGTTTCAAATGTCTTCTATGGACGTTAAACATAACTTCTTTTTTTAATGTCCACAATTTAAAATCCGTTTTTCAGAATCGTATATTTTCTAAACATCTAATAAACAAAAGTTTTAGAGGGATTTTTATGCAAGCATTTTACGTCAAGTTTTATTATTTGTTCTTTCAACAACAACAACAAAATCAAACATTAAAATCGTCACACAATTCAGGGTTGTGCGTAAATAAACTCTGGTGCACCTTTGGGTTTACAGTCATGGGTGTTCGTTTATTAAGTTTCATGAACCGTTTTTCTTAGTAGATATGATCGAGTCAGGGAGGATAATAAGTTGTTTATTTAACTTCAAAACCGTATTGGGTCAAACTGCGTCACTGAATGGGCTGTTACAGTTTATGAGGACAGAAATTTCTAAAAGGGCATCATGTGTTACACACGGAACTATATCAATCGATATTACACTTTTTTAATTTAAATATGCACATGGTGTACATTCAGTATACGCTTATTAAATGAAAGAAAACAAAAGTAAATATATCAATAGTGTTACTAACACCGGAAAATCAAAAGGTTACGCTAGAGTGTTAAACTGTGCTCTGAAGAAAAGAATGGAGGGGAAGCGTTGACGAAATTTATTTTTTTGGGCCAAAGTACAAACCCGTGAATGGCCGGGTAAATTAACTAGTATGAAATATCGGAAAACGCACTTTTTTTATTTTCTTTATTTTTTTATTTTATCACACTGAATCATATGAGTTATATCAAGTATAATATATCATTGTACTCTCAAAACAAAAATGTACAAATGTTAACTTACTTTTGGCTAGCAGTACTGCGAACATTAAATTCAGCTCTACTGTTAAATTCGGCCTCAGCTTGACTTTATACGCTCTGAAATCCGTCTCGTTCAAGTGAAATAGATTTATGTCTATGAAATAATTGAACTTTTTTCGTTCAAAAGACACAGTCAGATAATCACTTGTGTCCCGTTGGGGCTTCCCACAGGCACGGGGACTGTCCTGTTTGTGAAGTTCATCGATCACCATTGTGTCATTGTTTTCAGTGTCCGGTCGTGACGTGCCCAGGCCTGGATTGCTGTTTTGAAAGAGATATGCTTCCTTGTCGATTCCAATATGAGTTCCCAAATCAATGTTTGAATTGACACAAAGATGAACAGTGACGTTTGCTTTGAGATCAGCACTCACAGTTGTGTGTAGTTGAAACCCATCACACACTACAAGATGTCCACCTAAACAATAGATATTTTATATTTAAACAAAAATGAAGATAATTACATAAATCAATAAAACATTAATTAAATTAATAAATGATTAAAAACAACCTATTAAAAATTGCGTAAGTATAGTAATTCGATTAAAATATATTATCATTATTAACAATTTTGTATTTCTAAGTATCTTTAAAAGAAATAATTATAATTCATGGCGTTCGTGATCTTCATTCTTTTACGTCCTAAATTGAAGTGAAAATTAATTAAAAATTAATACAATTTGTGGATATTTTTCTGAGGAAAATCTATAATACGTAATTCTTCATCACATAAACGAAATTTATTTTACTGATGAAGATGCTTTCAAAAGAAATTTTGAAGAGTCAAGCAATTTCATTTCGCAGGCAAACGAAATAATGAATAACTGTATATCTATAAATATAAATTATAAAACAGAAAATACCATTCTAGCCTAGAAAGAAGAGATAAAAGATAAAAGATTATAATTTTAAAGGTCTTTGAAAATTATACGGTTTTAGAAAAGTTGGGTTACCAAATCGACCCTAAAAGTATTGGTTGATTGTGTGCTCTTACTTTCCTTGAGCTGGAACAGACAAAAATTAAAAACAAAATTTTTTGCTTTTCTAATTGTGACGTCATAACATCCAAAATCCTGACTCGTGATATTGCTTATTTTCAAAGTTATGTTACTGTACATCTTTGAATCCGTTTGACCGATGTCCACACTGTATAAAGGAATTGGGCAATTAGTGTGTCCGCTGCATTTGGACGAGTGGAAGAGTTTTACGTCTGCAATGTTTGACAGCGTAGGATGGGCGACCACACAAAAAGAGATGACAGCCGTCTCTCCGGTGTTTAGCAAAGTGGTCTGGTTATTACGTTGATGGTCACATAGTGATGGGTTACCTATAAGATAGAAAAAGTGAGAAATAAAAAAAAGTTGTAGAAAGTGTAACAACAACTGTTCTGTTCGATTTTATTTTAAAATGTTTAAAAAAAACATTATTTAAATTATGTCTTTGTTAACAAAACTATTAAGAGTAAAAAAAAAAAAATATTATTTTTTTAATGAAAAAGAAACTTTTCAACCACATATATTCCACACAAAAAAACACCATCCCTTGATATACACTGACGTTACTTCGCTAGAGGCAGCCAAAAAGAACGCAACAATTGGTCCATTACGGCAGGTAATTCACCCACCACGAACTTATGAATCACAAATAATATTAATAACGTTTACATTTTAATGACTTACAATCTTCCATTGTTACATCCAACAGTTCACTGACAATCAATCCTTCAAAAGTTGTAACATTGCACACATATGTTGCCATGAATGAACATCCAACATCGATTGAAATGTGAAGTAAATTGATAATGTGTATCAGTCCTTTTGATGAATAAGTACTCATCGTCTCTTTGTAATATCTTCTTCCAATGACAACAGACTGTGGGTATCCTACGGCACTACAATTTAATGTTACACCAGGTTCGTCTTTGTGTTTGAGAGAGATGAACTTGACATCGGAGGATTTTCCTGAACAATAAAGTGAATATACAAATGTATTATTTTACATAAATAACAGGCATTTTTTTAGCATGAGGCGTTGATGGATAAAATGAAACATATATTACGTAATAATCCTGTTGTTCATGGATTTAAAAAAAATGCTTAAAAATTGTATTTTAAATTGTATCATAAGTTTGAGTGAATCTTGATTCTAAATTTGTTGTAAAATAGTATAAATTATATTAAATGTGTAAAGTACAACCCTGAGCAAAGCGTACCGGCGCATGTACAGACGGGAATCCTGCTTTCAGATACAACACAGGTAGATTAAGAATTCATGAATGAAGTGACCCTGATTCATGGAAGTGGTCAATGATCTAGAATCTAGCGGTGGATCTATCCTTAAACCAAACGCAGGACAAATGTGAGGACGATCCAGGCACGATAACCCCACGAAAGCGTTATGCTACCTGAAATACGTCCAGCTCTGGCAATATTGAGGTCACGAAAGCCGACCAGAACTAAGGGAGGAAGTCCAAAGAACGCTTGAATCCGAACCAACGCGCCTGGTAAACATCTTTAGAGAACGTAGCTCAAGTTCAGACTATGTGGCCATGCCGAGGAAACCGTGCATCACCTGGTGATCGGTTGCCCCGGGAGCCTTGTTGGGCGTGGTGCAGAAGGTCTTAACACAGAAACATGTACTTGGACTATTTGATGTACGGCTATGTCCATCAGATGAGATAAGCCGCGGATAAAATTGTTAGGGATATAGGAGCTTAAGCTCAGCCCATAAAAGAGTATTTAACATTTTATCATTTAAAATAGCCAATGTGTAAAACCAAACAGGTTTGATTACAAATACATTTTCTTAGTATAGCGCTTAAATCCATAACTACTGTTGAAATGTTTAAATTTCAGAAAATACTGATAATTTTCTCAAAAAGACATTAAAATCTTTTAACATGAAGGACTTATTCACTTTGGCTTGTGTAAATTATGGTATTTAATTGCATTAAACTACATTTTAGCTTGAGAGCACTGCAGTAGTCCATGCGTCATAGTACGAATACAGACATCAGCTTTTTTAATGCAAACCTTAATGAAGGTCTGATATGGCTAATTCTGCGCAGTTCTAGAAAAATCACATTGCAAAGCATGTTAATGTGTTTTTCCATCTTAGTGTTCTGTCTAAGTAGACACCCATGTTTCGCACTGTTTGACCATACTCAATCGCACCCTCTAAGAGAGTAAGCGATGATGTGTTAACTACAGATTTTCGCTTTTAAACGTTAGCGATTGGGAACTGATCGGTCTTTTCATTGTTAAATTTGAGATTGTTATGGTCATCCAGTGCTCAAGTGACTCCATATTCTCTTACTTCATTCTCACATTTCTCTCTGTATCTTGACTGACCTGAAGTGGAAAGGAGACGTAAACAAACAAAAAACGCACACAAGCTCAGCCCCCCCCCCACACCCCCCCCCAAACACGCACACTCCATCAATTTAATATAACTTCATTCTCACATTTCTCTCTGTATCTTGACTGACCTGAAGTGGAAAGGAGACGTAAACAAACAAAAAACGCACACAAGCTCAGCCCCCCCCCCCACACCCCCCCCAAACACGCACACTCCATCAATTTAATATAAACATATCATTTTTCTATGCTTAGAAACCCTGTATGTCGCTCTCGTCTGACGGTACCAGCGACAGCCATCATTCGGGAAACACTGATTTAAATGACATACAATTTGGTAATAAATATATATTCAAACACATTTAAAAAAGTAATCCCGTTTTAGACATAACATGCATTTCATATATTTCGTAGTTTCAATACAATACAATTACCTTCTGGCTTAATGATGAAATGCACATTAAACAACGTGTCTGAGCCCGTGTAAAGTTGAACATTCAGACGACCGTAGTCGCTGGCAGATACATTGCTGATTGAGATGACCATTGTAAGCAGCACCGATGAGTTCGTGTTTGTGACCATCTGAAAGCCATACTTGTCGCTGAAACCACCATTACGAAGAGTTGTATTCTGTATGAATATCGTAGGTTGTATAGTTATGTAGGCGAGGACGGAGAAGGTCACGGTTTGGTTTGAGCTTATGGGTGATACGACTGTTTTACCTGACTCATGTTCACTGAATAAAACTGGAGGGCCTGTGAGATATGAAGAAAAAAAATTAATTAGCAAAATGATAACGGGGATAGAGCTTTCAATAATCGTACCATGATATGTAGATATTTATGGAAAAGGAAAATATTTCTAGCTTCGACTACACAACCAACATACGCTTTTAAAATACGTAGAGTGGTGCATACTAAATAAAACTAATATCAGAAGGTGCGTTTGCAGCCTGTGATTTTGAAATGAGCGAATGAGAGCGCATCACGGTGCACAATGAAAGCCGTGTGAACAAGATCCACTCGGGAAGTAGAATATGTGTATGTGTCTATGTGTGTGTGTATGTGTGTTTGTAAAGGTGCAAATGTAAGACTAATCATAAAACATAACATAAAACAAACAACCAAACACAGACTTTTGTAAAAAGTAAAATACAACAGCAACAAAACATTACTGTATCATTGGGAATAACGTGGGGAATGACTAAAACTCGTCATTTCAATTGATGCTTCAATACAGCGGAAAGAATATTCCAGCACTTCCTTAAATGAATTTTAAAATAATGGAAACTTGGATTTATACGACGAGAAGTAACAATAGTTGTAAAATGTATATGGAAAAAAATCTAGTATTTGATCTAACCTTGCAAAACTACTCAATTTCTATTCAATGACAATCAAAAAAAAAAACTACTTTGTGAAAAATTAAATACTATTTATTATACCAGGTGTTGCTGGGGTTTTCATTCGAAAAAAAACAGCAAAATCTTATCAAAAGAAACAGTAATTTAGAGCCAAAAACAGTAATTTAATGTCGAACACTTCGCTTCAGAACTAAACAAAATGTAAAATTATCTCCTGAAAAAGAATTAACTCGAGTTATTTTATAAAAAATTATATATATAAATGACATTACTTGCATGCATCCATAAGTTACAATGAAGACGTCCTAGAAAGATTTTGATAGCATTTGTAAAATCATATCGATAATAATGTACACTTTATATGTTGTGACTTCAGCAGCAAAATCGTTTTTCATCATCGTTTCAAAAAGTTGGTAATTCCAGTTAAGCCACATACATACCTAAATTACATAAATACATAAATTACATTTATACATGAATGCTTACGAAAATTACATTCATACATAAATACATACATAAATTGCATACATACATACATTACATACATACATAAATACTTTCATAAATTACATTCATACATAAATATTTACATAAATTACATACATACATAAATACATAAATAAATTACATACATGAATACATAAATTACAAACATACATACCTACATACATAAATTACATACATACATAAATTACACACATACATACATATATACATACATAAATTACACACATACATGCATACATTACATACATACATACATACATAAATTACATACATAAATACATACATACATAAATTACATACATAAATACATACATAAAGTAAATGCATGCATACATACATAAATTACATGCATGCATACATACATATATTACATACATATAAACATACATACATAAATTACATACATACATAAATTACATACATACATACATACCTACATACAAACATACATACATACATACATACATACATACATACATACATACATACATACATACATACATACATACATACTTACATACATACATACATACATACATACATACATACATACATACATACATACATACATACATACATACATACATACATACATACATACATACATACATACATACATACATACATACATACATACATACATACATACATACATACATAAATTGCATACATACATACGTTCGTACATAAATACATAAATACATACATACAAACATAAATACATAAATACATACATACATATATACATACATACATATATACATACATACATAACATACATACATACATACACATTCATACATACATACATAAATACAGACAGACAGACAGACATACATGCATACACACATATGGTCATACCGAGCTTTATACAGTAGATAATACATTAATCTTATAAACAACCGTACCATTATATACAGCGCTAATGCACGAAGGTAAAAACACTAAGAACAAGCCACTGCATTGTCCAGCATCTATAATCAAAACTACTACTCACATGATTCAGTAGCTAAATCCGTTGTGGCCGAGGTAACTTGATCTGAAGCGTATCCCACTTCACAGATATAGGTCCCCAGATGACGGCATTGAAAATCTTCAATCGCGTACTTGACAGTCTTTGTATTGAAACTTTCCACCAGAACCTTTCCAGATAGATTTCTTATACGCAGTGTGAAGTTCTTGGTAGCGTGTACATTTACAGTGCATTCCAAGTGGACTCTGCTTTCACGTCTGACAAGCAAAGGTTGCTTTGGAAAGTCCACCACGTCAATGTTGTTGACGGTGAAACTTTGAATGCCGGGTACACCTGAAATAAACAGCGCATTCGTATAATGCTATTTAAGTAATAATCCCGTTCAGACAACGAACTTACAACAAATAATGAATAAATTTAAAAAAAAAAGAAAGAAAAGATAATAACATTTTTTTAGCAATCAGTAGACTTGGTCAGATTAAAAAGGTAAAAAAAAAAAATAATTAAAATGCTTATATTAAATAATGTATTGTAAACGTGGCTTTTAATTAAATGTCGAGAAATTTAAAATCTTAAGACAAAAATATATGCATTGTTTATTTTAAAAATTTACATGTAAATGATCAATTAGAGCAGTGGTTCTCAAACTATCTATTCCACGAGTTGTGGTGAACCCCTATCATAAAGTTATTTTCGTTGCTACTTCATAAATATGTGTTTTCTGATGGTCTTAGTAGACCGCTATGCAACTGTAGTTCAACCCCAAGAGGGTACGACACTTACAGGTTGAGAACCGCTTATGTAGAGCACTGGCGTAGGCGGGTGAGTTGGAGAGGGGATGGCAACCACTGGTTGCGTGCTTATCTTTACATGGACTGGCTGCATTTTCGTCCCAAATTTAAATTCTGTTCTTTGTAGGGGCGGAAAAAAATATAAGTGCCCCTAGCGGCAATAACCTTTGATACGCCAAAGACCTAATCATCCTCCACGAAATGCAATCTTAAGTTCAAGCTTCCACTGAATTAGATGGTAATGAGGAATAGATTATTTCGCCTTATTGTTAAAAATAGGGTCCAATATTGGTGCCATTGTAAAAGTAGTAGAATCACTGAGTTTGCTTCAAGTGTGGCTTTTGTGTGTAAGTCAGGTGCTCAAATGCATTGTAAGGGTTAAGCGTTAAGAATTTAAAAGATAAACAGATAGCGAGAGATAGAGGGCCTGAGAGAGATATAAAGAAAGAGAAAGGGAGTGGGAGTAAGAGAGAAAGAGGGGAAGAGATAAGGAGAGAGGGCCAGATAGAGATATAGAAATAGAGAGATAGAATAAGAGAGAGAGCGCGCGCAATCTAGCCAGTGAGGTGAGGGAAGTGTAACAACATAGAAAATGGTATTAGATATCTATTACCACAGTATTACCATTGAAATTGAGTACTGTAATTCAGTTGAAATTGTCTGACAGAGCTTCGTGGTGAATAAATGTATGGCCTCTTTTGACTTTTTCGGTGAAAGGGTGACATTGGTCCTATTTTATTTTAATGAGATATATCCGTCAATCCTCTATACAACAACAATCCTTACATCAATTTCTAGATCTTATCACACAATTATATAGTTAACCTAAAGAATTATTTATTTATATATATATATATATCTATATATATATATATATATATATAAATGATATAGACATACTCGCGCGAGTTCTGTGTACTCACCATGACAATTTATGTCTCCAAACAGTGGAGAAAACAAACACAAGAACAAACCACCTTACATCAATTTCTAGATCTTATCACACAATTATATAGTTAACCTAAAGAATTATTTATTTATATATATATATATATCTATATATATATATATATATATATAAATGATATAGACATACTCGGGCGAGTTCCGTGTACTTACCATGACAATTGATGTCTCCAAACAGTGTAGGAAACAACCACAGGAACAAACCTCCGAATGAGAAAAACGTCCTATCCTTACTTGAACACATTTTGGACCTTTGAGTCTCTATCATGCTTGTGACTCGTCATGTAGATGCCACGGGAAATAAAAGCACATGCACGTATTCTATCATACAATATGCCGGTAGGAAGGAAATGAATTCCTGAACAAATATAACATATAGCCAATAAATTGATATTCCTGGAAAAATCTTGTCCTCTTGTTCTTTCGACACTACCGCCAAGTAGCTAAGCTCTTCTTTTATAAAGTGTTTTTCTTTCCATATTCCTTATGCTTTCCGTGTGGCCCTACTTGAAAGTCAATGGTTTGCAAAGCTGCCAATGAAAGCACAACACTGATATCTCGCTCTCTATACATTCACATTCAGAATTACGTCTGGGCATGACAAGGGGTCACAGACTTTTTTTTTGGTTTGTTTTGTTTTTTTAAAGCCTTATCTTATATTTCCTGGAATTTGTATTTTCTGTGAATTCACAATCTACTTGATTCATACTGGTAATACACTGAAAATAAGGAGACATGACAAGTTATAAATTGTATATACAAAATCCCCTAGCGTATTGGTGCCTGCTTAATATATATATATAATACATTTTATTAGCATTGTTGATTAAATTATAGGGTTTCAGTGTCATTTATTAAAATAGCTATTATAACCAAATTGTTCTCTTTTTTACTTAGCTTAGCTTTCTCTCTCTCCCTATATATATATATATATAGCTAAATTAGATATAAAAAAATAAACAAATATAATTAAAAATCTTGCATTTTGAGAGCATTAGAGCAACAAAAATAAAATGAAATTTGCATATATATATTTATATATATATATATATATATATATATATATATATATATATATATAAAAAAAAATAAAAAAAAATTTATATATATATATATATATATATATATATATATATATATATATATATATATATATATATCAATCTTTTTATTGCTCTAATGCTCTCAAAAGCAAGATTGTTTATTATATTTGCTTTTTTTTATCACAAGAATATATGCAGTACTGGCCGACAACATAAGACAGTTGGAACGATGCTGGCCAACCATTTGAGAACTTCTGACGTTAACCAATAGAGTCAATACTAATGTTGACTCAATCAGGCTGTCAATTAATTTGGTCATGGTAAATGATAACATCAAGATAGCAACACTTGGACCGCTTTACTATAGACAAGTCGAAATTGTTATACATCGTGAAAGTTATTATTTTATGTCATGTCAGGAACTTTACTTTTAGTCTTTCATCTTTACATACTAATGTCTGTTTTGAATGTTCATATTTATATAGCAATCCTGCTTTAAATGCCCATGTTTACATATGTCTGTTTTTTAAATTAATATTTACATATTATGTCTTTTTTTAATGTTAATATTTACATGTTATGTCTGTGTTAAATGTTGATATTTATATATTATTACAGTTTTGAAAGTGTAAAAATCTAATAATTGAAATAAAATGTTTAAGTTAACATTTCGTCTAATGGAAAAATTTCAGAGTACAACAATGAGTGTAAAACGCAAAAATACGTCTCGAGCAAAAGTATATTAGTTAATTTCATCACCTCTCTCATTTTGTCCATCTTCACCCCCCCACCCCCTTTCACACATACAGAGACACATAAACAAGCACACACCAACACAAACACACAAACACAAACTTTTACACACACACACACACACCAATTCTCACTACACGCACGCCTCAATCATTTATTTCTTGACTCACAAAACGTTTTGCCGGTTGTTAATATAACAACATTGTTTTTAGCAGCGATAATTGCTTCAGACCAAAGAACAGTTCGGGTGTTACCTGTAACCAAACACACGTGTAGCTTAAGCGAGTTATTGTCTGGTAAAGCTTCTAAAGCCTGTCACAAAAGACGATACAAAAATCTTTTGTTCAATTTTCTCCCAAGGCTTTTTTGTTGTTTTTTTTTTAGTTGGGGGAGGGGGGGGTGGTGGGCAGAGAAATGAGAGAAATCAAATGCACATAGATATCCATTTGAATGAAGTATTTCTTCAATCTCGACACTAAACACAAAATAATGTAATTTGATATCTTCAAATCTTAATATCTTAATTGAATATTTTCACAAGAGCGTAATTCTTTTATATCACAGTGTCTTCTTTGATGAGATCAAATATGGTTTTATTTAGAGCTATTAATTATTTTTTTCTTTTTTTTTTTTAAACGGCTTGGCAACCCATCACTTACGCAACATTTCAGTTATCATTGTATGTGAATCATATAGGTTAATAATAGATTTTTTTTGTAACTTAACCAAAACTCTTCAAATTATCAATAAGCCTAACTTTAAATACTAATACGTTTTCGGAAAGAACAACAAATATTAATTAAACATTTAAAAGAAATAAAACCTGTCTTACCTTTAAGCACGCAAAAGACTCGAATTTAATACAAATTAACTATTGTGGTTAAATAGTATTTCTTAAACATGCCAGAACAGCAATTCAAGTGCCAGCCTGACGCGTATGCTGGCATGTTTTAACTTTCCTTAACTGAACGAGATTAAAAATATCGTTTGGTTTCTAGGCCAAAGTTCGTGGAAGGGGGTTTTTCTGTACTGTCATACGACGATTTCTTAATAAGGACCACTTGAAAACAGCATTCGGGTATTTACGATCCATGATCGCGTGGTTTTGTACATCGTTGTGTGAATATGCACTAATGTTAATGGAATATGATATCTGAAATAGATAGGAATTACCGTTGCACTGCAGTGCCGATGACAACTATGATTTTCAGGGGTGTTTTTTTGCACTCGTTGGGTCAAAAACAGTATTTTATCCGATATTTGTAATCACAACAAGAACAAGAATTTATTACAAAAAACAAACATCATTTTTTAAAATCCCCCCCCCCAAAAAAAAGGTAAGCAATATTATACATGTTTTGGGGAATTTATTATAAAGAAATTGAAAACAATATTATTTTAACAAAAATTTTTTTAACACATTTATTTTAACACACGTTAATTTAACACGTTTCTTTTAAAATGTAAACACATTGTAATTTTTTTTTTTTTTTTTTTTTTTTTTTAATTTTTTTTTTTTTTTTTTTTATGTCAGAATTTATATTTTCTGAAAATACGAGGCCATTATATCCCAAGTTATCTGATCTGAGCCTGTTACTGTATAGAGGGCTATACATTTTCATTCCCAAAGAGAAAAACAAAAATTTCTAATACACAGTTAAGGTTTCTCATTTCCAGGTATTTTCTCATCCCAGGGAAATCCTAGGGTTATAGTAATTTAATTAAAATATATTTTAAACTGGGGTAAACTAAAAAAAATGATTGTTTTTGTATATTAGATC